AGGGAGATTAGTAGTGGTCTTGTATGTCTTCCATTTTCTGATTATCGCTCCCACAGTAGATTTCTTCACACCAAGCTGCTTGTCTATTGCAGATTCAGTCTTCCCAGCCTGGTGCAGGTCTACAATTCGGTTTCTGGTGTCCTCAGACAACTCTTTCGTCTTCACCATAGTGGAGTTTGGAGTGTGACTGTTTGAGGTTGTGGGCAGGTGTCTTTTATACTGTTAACAACTTCAAACAGGTGCCATTAATACAGGTAATGAGTGGGGGAAAGAGGAGCCTCTTAAAAAAGAAGTTACAGGTCTGTGACAGCCAGAAATCTTGCTTGTTTGTAGGTGACCAAATACTTATTTTCCACCATTATTTGCAAAAAAAATATTTAAAAGTCAGACAAAATGATTTCCTCAAAATTTTTTTCACATTTTGTCTCTCATYGTTGAGGTCTACCTATGATGTCAATTACAGGCCACTCTCATCTTTTTAACTGGGAGAACTTGCACAATTGGRGACTGACTAAATACTTATTTTCCCCACTGTATAATCATTTTGCTTACTTAATCTCAAAACAATATAATATTTGGATGTCTGCACACATAAGGATGATGTTTATGTGATGATTGTGAAGCATTCTATGAACTGAACAACAGAATGATACAACAGATCAGACACCGTTAAAGAGTTTTCTGACAGTTCTCGTGTACATGCTGTACATGAAGTATTTTTGTGCTGTAGCAGTGAAGAACCCTCATGCCTGCACAGTGTGAGACTTTTATCAGGAACATCAGGATTTAAGATGAGAGAGATTAGGTTCTGAGTTACAGAACTGTTTACAATCCAACACACTGAAGTCAGCTTAGCTTCTGCGTCACGCCCTCCAGAGACACAGTTAGAGACTGTGGTGCATCCAAAGACTATAATTAGAAACTAAATGAGTCCTCTGCTTGTTTGCTACATGAAGTGTGACTGCCCTGACTGCATGTGCAAACAAAACGAAACAGATCCTGAATGGAAATGAGGACTAATGAGAGCTTTGCTTCTTCTGCTGCTGCAGGTTAAATTTGACCCAGAGCAGCTTTCCTTACAAAGAACTGCTAACTAATCCCTATCCTGGACTTCCTCTGACAAACAYAAGCAAGTTGGCGATTATTTATTTATTTGTTTCTAAACTGCACATGAAAGCCTCATCAGAGGAACACAGGCTCCGCCCCCACCAGCCTGCTATACAACACAACATTCAGCCAGGTCTTACCTCAGTGACCAGCACCCAGAGATTCTGGCTCCGGCACAGTCAATCAAAGTCATGTCTGATCCACAAGACATCCTGCTACCCTCCAGCTCACCTGTCACCATGAACCGGACCACAACAGCAGTAGCTGTGCCCCCCCAGCAGTGATGGAGGTGGTGACTGTGTGGAAACTACAGGTGTGTTCCTGACCTGCCTTCACTCATCTGAAACTCTGCTCCTTCTGCTGCCGGTGTGTGTGTGTGTGTGTGTGTGTGTGTGTGTGTGTGTGTGTGTGTGTGTGTGTGTGTGTGTGTGTGTGTGTGTGTGTGTG